AGGGGGGGGGGGAGGGGGGAGGGGGGGTTAGTCAGAATACCACACAACAAGAAATTATGGGAAAACGCCAACAAAAGCAAAATAATGGCCGAGAAAAACAATTACAGGCATTTAGCCGACGTTTGTGCCATGGGTCTGAGCCTATTGGTATATGCATGCCTTAATTAAGTCTCAACTTAGTCATTATGTTTGTGCCAATGATGACAAATGAAGGCAACGGATAAATTGATTTGGCTTGGATAATTTTGCAACTCTATGACACCAATAAAAACTGAATTTATTTATGTATCTATTAAGAGGGGCCATAATATGTAGACAATCTCTCCTGCCACTGATGAGAGCTGAGAAAGAGCATTGTTCTCTTTCGTTAATGGTGATTTACGAACTTCGGGTGGTCCTTTAAACCTATCTTCACAATCTTGTGCAGCTATGCTAGCATACTCTGCATCTGTACTCGACTCTTTGTAATTGTTGGAATCCAAAAAAATGATTGCACTTTGGAGATTTTTCTCCGCAACGTCCCTATATTGTTCGATGCATGAATTAAAGTATGGCTTCAGTACCGGGTCCGTCGTCTTGGTATACAATTGTTGTATATATACCAAGGTGACATTGGCTTTAGCCAGAGACAACTCTAGTATTATGCGAGCAAGCCCTTTAACGTCTGCTTTAGCGCTTCGAGGATCAGCATGAAGAGATGAGACACATAAATTATGATATTTTGTGCGCCTACAAGTTTTTTCTATCAAATCGGCTCCTTTCTCTATCACCAAAGTAGAGCATTGGCTTGGAGGTAACTGAATGAGAGAAAATAGGGTAACAACCACCAAACTTAGGGAAACTAGCTTCTTCATTGTGCAGAGTATATAGGGGAAGGATAAGGTATGTGATGCTAATGAAGGTTATGGGTTCTAGTTGGTGGCATTTATAGAGCAATGGCTTTCATACTTTTATGCTGCAATGTAGTCAAAGATAACTGTCAATGTAATGAATGACACAACAAACGCTCCATATGAGAGGGATTGCTTATTACAATAACTTGATATACTTTCCAAATGGTGGAAATAGGATTGGCATTCTCCTTATTCATGTAATATAGGATTGCCATTCTCTTCATTAAAACTGTGGAACAATTATGTTAGTTTCCATTACTAAGATTTTCTTATCTGTATTCATAATTAATCAATCCGGGGTGTCATTATATAATCTATTAAAATTTAAATTTAAAATGAGTAATTTTATTATCCGGTAAAAGTTTGTGTCATGTCGGATTCTATCATATCCAAATTTATTCAATCCATGTCCAATCATTTATAATCATACGTAGTTTAGTTTGTATCGTGTCGGATTCATAAAGTGTATAAGCCGTGTTTATATCATCAAACGTGGTTACAACCAATTGACATCCCATTTTCTCTAGATCCACAGTAAATGAAAAAATACCATCCAGAGTTCCCATCTGTAATTGTTTCTTTGTGATCTACGTTTTCAATATTTACGTATAATCATACTACATGTGAAATTAAGTTCTTTCAGATAAATTTTTACCCTCCGTCCAATACTTGATTGCAAAGAATTTGATTGATAGATGTCCAAGAGAGAAGGACTTACCCATTGTTTTTGTACAAATTATTACTTATTCATAAGTTAAAACCATAATGAAAATCAATCAATTGAGATAATTAATTTTAAAGTATAATTTATTCCAATAAAATTTCAAATATTAGGATCTAATTCTTAAAAAAGCAAAGATTGAGAATTTAATTATTGAGAGAGCACTGACCAAGAGAGAAACTTAAAGAAATAGTCAAATAAATGATAACTATCAAACTTATTGTGATTTCACAAACAAATTTTGAGAGATAATAATCAGTGACTTGGTGTTTGAAAAAAAAAGAGAAAATTAGAGACAAAAGAGAAATTGAAGAATAGTGATATTGGGGTCTAGAAATCTATCCTAAACGCGACAATGGAAATATTAAATTAATATTATTGTAATTAGAACTCTTGAATTTATTTTTTGAGACCACATCACTTAATACATTATTAGGTCAGTAAATTGGTTTAGATTTTTAGACCCAAAAACATTAATGAAATACAAAAGTAGCGATAAATTTGTACACATTTTTAGTGGGTGCAAATTTAAAAAAATTATAAATTTATAAACATTTCAAAACTATCCAAAAAATATTTAAAATTGCACTGGTGGCAGTTGCCCCCACTACTCCCAATGCAAATCCGCCATTCATTCGAACAATAATATAATCTTTTTCTATAATTTAGTATATTTCTAAAAAGTCTATATAATTCATTATGTCAATGAGAATATGTTATTTCGGTGCCCAAAACACACACACACACGTAGGGGTAGGTGGGTGGATTGATGTTACTTTTCTATATGATCAAAGCGGAACAAAAGTCAATCATTTCTTTCATCAAATGTTGTTAACCTTATGGGCCTAATCTTATATTAAGACTCATATTAGTTATTATGTTTGTACCAATGACGACAAATGAATGCAACGGATAAATTAAGATGGCTTGGATAATTTTGCAACTCTATGACACAAATAAATAGTGAATTTATTTATGTATCTATTGAGATGGACCAAAATATGTAGACAATCTCTCCTGCCACTGATGAGAGCTGAGAAAGAGAACTGTTCTCTTTCGTTAATGGTGATTTACGAACTTCGGGTGGTCCTTTAAATCTATTTTCACAATCTTGTGCGGTTGTGCTAGCATACTCAGCATTTTTGCTCGACTCTTTGTAATTGTTGGAATCCAAAAACGAGATTGCCATTTGGAGAACTTGCTCGGCAACGTCCCTATATAGCTCAATGCATGAACTAAAGTATGGCTTTAGTACAGGGTCTGTGGTCATGTTATACAATTGTTGTATATATACCAAGGTGACATTGGCTTTAGCCAGAGACAACTCTAGCATTATACGAGCAAGCCCTTTGGCATCTGCTTTAACGCTTCGAGAATCAGCATGAAGAGATGAGATACATAAATTATAATATTTTGTGTGCCTACAAGTTTTTTCTATCAAATCAGTTCCTTTCTCTATCAACAAAGTAGAGCAATGGCTTGGAGGTAATTGAATGAAAGAAAATAGGGCAACAACCACCAAACTTAGGGAAATTAGCTTCTCCATTGTGCATAGTATATACGGGAAGGATAAGGTATGTGATGCTAATGAAGGTTATGGGTTCTAGTTGGTGGCATTTATAGAGCAATGGTTTCATACTTTTATGCTGCAATGTCGTCAAAGATAACTGTCAATATAATGAATGACACAACAAACGCTCCATATGAGAGGGATTGCTTATTGCAATAACTTGATATACTTTCCAAATGGTGGAAATAGGAATGGCATTCTCCTTATTCATGTAATATAGGATTGTCATTCTCTGCATTAAAACTGTGGAACAGTTATGTTAGTTTCCATTACTAAGATTTTCTTATCTGTCTTCATAATGAATCCATCCAAGGTGTCATTATATATATAATCTACGAAAAATTTAAATTTAAAATGAGTAATGCTATTGAGGTTGAAAATTTAACATAATTTGTTGATCTAACAATGTGACAACTGATATTATCCGGTAAAAGTTTGTGTCATGTCCATGCCCGATCATTTATAATCACATGTAGTTCGATTTGTATCGTTTCGAATTCTTGTAGTGTATGAGTCATGTTTATTGGGTTTATGTCATGTTTAGTCAGGTTATTTTCTACTCATTAGCTAACAAGTCTTATGGGCACAAGTTTTATAACATTATACTCAAACCTTTCGCATTGTTTTTGTGTCAATTTGCAGATCATGCCTAGAATTAGTAGGTCTCCTATCATGAAGAACATCTTGCCCAAGATTACTCAGTTTGAATCTGGAAGGAGCTAAGGGCACAAAAGCATGCTAGAGGATATTACATTGCAGTCAACAAGGGGCTCCTGTGCACTCAAAGCACTAGCTACCTCACTATTTTGTCTGATATTTATGTTAGTTTTTATAAACTCAATTCTTAAAAGGTAGGTTTTGTATTTTTGGGTTTATGATAAGTCATGGTATTTGAAGAGATAGTCAATTGAAGTGTCCAGAATGTTTTGGGAGGTTTGTTTATGTCTTTGAGAGGAGTGGTCATGTACTTTTATGTGAAAACTCTGAAGAGACCATCTATTTTAATGCTTGGAGGCTGCTGGCCACTGAATAGGCAGATTCAAGGTTTTTTGGCTAGGAAAAATTAGTATAAAAGGGAAAGAGTTGCTGCCCAAAACAATGGGAGTGTATCTGCAGAAAAAAAACAGAGAGAAAGAGAGTAAAAAATATGTTTTGCTGTCAGAAAAAACGCAGCAGGAAGTTCATGAGCAGAAACTCTATTCCTTTGTATTTCTTGGGTGTTTGTGAGCTGAAAAATTCAAATAAGTTATCCCCTTTGTATTCCTTGATATTGTGATCATTTTTGATGAAATATAGAGATGTTTCTTAAGTAAAATTGATGTGGATATGGAGTAGATTTTTGTCCTCTATTTTTGTGTTCTTTGGTGATCTATTTTGCTTCCAATACCCAACAAAATTGGTATCAGAGTAGGTTGTTATGGCCACTATGAATAATGTGCTTCAACCTCAATTTTCCAAATTGGAAAAAGATAATTATAGGAATTGGAGTATTCAAATCAAAGTGTTGTTATAATCACAAGATCTTTGAAAAATTGTTGAAAAAGGTTACATCGAGCCAACTACGGAGGAAGGCAAGCACTTAATGATGCTCAAAAGATGGTGCTTAAGCAATCAAGAAAGACGGATAAGAAGGCTTTATTTCTACTTTACCAATGTATTGACGATAACACTTTTGAGAAGATTTCTTCCGCCACCACCTCGAAGCAAGCTTGAAAAATTTTGAAGAGTATGCATAGAGGCATTGATACAACAATTCGGGTTCGTCTTCAAATATTGCGAAGTGAATTTGAAGGGTTGAATATGAATGGAGCCGAGTCAATTTCAGAGTATTTTTCAAGAACTTTGGTGATTGTGAATCAAATGCGAAGGTATGGAGAAGCTATTGATGATGTTCGTGTTATGGAAAAAATACTACGAACCTTAACTCCAAAATTTGAGCATGTTGTTGTGGCCGTTAAGCAATCCATGAATTTCAAGACTACGAGCGTTGATGAATTGATGGCGACATTGAAAATACATGAGCAACGTATCAATAAAAAGACTTCAAGTTCTCTTGAACAAACTCTCCAATCCAAGCTGTCTTAGAAAGATGAAAAAAGTGAATTTCAAGGTAGTACATTCCAAAGAGGAAGAGGTAATGGAACACGAGGTAGAGATTATGGCAATCAAGGAAGAGGCTACGAAGGTCGTGGAAGAGGCTATGCTAATAGAGGTAGAGGAGGAAGAGATCAATTCACAAATGATGCAAGAAATCAAAATTCTTATAGTTCAAGAGGTAGAGTACGAGAAAGAGCAAGAGGCAATTACAACGATCAAAATTTTGACAAGAGAAATGTTGAATGCTTCAATTGTCACAAGTTTGAACATTATAGCAATGAGTGTTAGGCAAGTGCAAATAAAGGCATTGAATAACATTTGAATTATGCCAAGAAAGCAAGTAATGAAGCGGCATATACTTTGTTGTTGGTCTACGATGGGTCCAAGGAAGGTAATGGCAACATGTGATTTCTGGATTCTGGGGCTAGCAACCATATGTGTGGCAAGAAGCATATGTTTGTAGAACTTGATGAAGTGATGCAAGGCAAAGTTACTTTTGGCGACTCCTCTAACATTCCAGTAAAAGTCAAAGTTAAAATTCTTATTAAGCTCAAGAATGACAATCATGATTTTATTTTCGATGTCTATTATGTACCGGATATGAAGAATAATATTTTGAGTTTGGGGCACCTTTTAGAAAAGGGTTATGATATTAGCATGAATAATCTTCACCTTACAATTAAAGATACACATGGTAATTTGATTGTCAATGTGGAAATGTCCAAGAATAAAATGTTTCTTTTGAATATTCAACATGATGCTATGAGATGTTTAAATTCTATTATTAAAGATGATTCTTGGTTGTGGCACTTGAGACTTGGACATCTTAATTTTGGTGGCTTGAAGCTTTTATCTAACAAGAAAATGGTGAAGGGTCTACCCTACATAGATCATCCGAATGAGTTATGTGAAGGGTGTATTCTTGGCAAGCATCACAGATTAAGTTTCTCAAGAGAAGTCAAGTGGAGAGCATCCCGACCTTTGGAGCTTGTACACACTGAAGTTTGTGATCCTTTGAAGCCTATGTCAAATGGTAAGAATTGCTATTTTCTTACTTTTATTGATGACTATAGCCGAAAGACTTGGGTGTATGTTTTAAGAAGGAAGTTCGAAGTGTTTGAAGTTTTTAAGGAGTTCAAGAATCTTATTAAGAAGCAAAGTGGCTATTTTATCAAGATGGTGAGATCCGATCAAGGCGGTGAGTATAGTTCTGATTTATTTGAAGACTTTTGCAAGGAGCATGGAATTGTGCATCAATTCATGCCAAGCTATACACCTCAATTGAATGGAGTTGCAGAAAGAAAAAATAGTACTATTCTTGATATGACTAGAGGTATGTTGAAAGAAAAGAGATTGCCTAGAGAATTTTGGGCTGAAGTCGTAGCACGTGCAGTGTACTTGTTGAATCGATGTCCAACCAAAAGTGTTCGTTTCAAGACCCCAGGGGAAGCTTGGTGTTCATTCAAACCAAGTGTAGCCCATCTTAAAGTTTTTGGATGCATTGCTTATGCAAAGATTCCCGAAGCAAGGAGGACAAACCTTGATGATAAAGGTGAAAAGTGTATTTTTCTTGGGTATGGTGATAGAACAATGGGGTACAAGTTATACAACCCCATTACCAAGAAAGTGTCATGACTAAAAATGTAATATTTGAAGAGGAAGACACTTGGGATTGGAAAGAAAAAATTCCAGCTACTGAAGTGGAACTTATGCTTGAAGAAGAAAAGTCCAAAGAACCAAGGGAAGTTCAAAGAGAGCCACAGACACCTCCATATGGATCCCCTTCATCTTCTACAAGTGAATCATCATCATCACTATCATCATCTTCATCATCGAATTCAAGTTCAAGTGAAACACTAAGAAAAATGAGAAGTTTGCAAGAGATTTATGAATTTACGAAAAATTTTGAAGGTATCTTGAATTTATTTTGTTTGTTTATGGATTGTGATCCTTTATGTTTTGAAGAAACAGTTCAACAAGAGAAATGGAGAATAGCAATGGATGAAGAAATGAAGGCAAATGAAAATAGTGATACATAGACACTAGTTAGTCTTCCCCAAGGTCATAAAGTAATTGGTATGAAGTGGGTATATAAAACCAAGAAGGATGCAAATGGTAAAGTTCAAAGATACAAGGCAAGGTTGGTTGCTAAAAGCTACAAGCAAAGGGCTGGAATTGATTATGGCGAGATATTTGCTCTCGTTGCTCGTTTGGAAACGATTAGGTTGATGATTTCTTTGGCGGCACAAAACAAGTGAAAGATTTACCAACTTGATGTGAAATTGGCATTTTTGAATGAATTTCTTGAGGAGGAGATTTATGTTGAACAACATTTGGGGTATGTGAAAAAGAGACATGAAGGTAAAGTGTACAAGTTAAGAAAAGCTCTCTATGAATTAAAGCAAGCACCGAACGCATGGAATGCTAGAATTGACAAATATTTTCGTGAGAATGATTTTCAAAAGTGTCCTTATGAGCATGCATTATATATGAAGATGGATGGCAATGGAAGTGTGTTACTTGTTTGCCTTTATGTTGATGACTTGATCTTCACCAGCAATGATCCAATGATGTTTGATGGATTCAAGATAAGTATGATTAAGGAGTTTGAAATGATTGACATTGGCTTAATGTCTCATTTCCTTGGCATTGAGGTTAAGCAAAGTGAAGACGGAATTTTTATTTCTCAAAGTAGTTATGCAAATGAAATACTCAAGAAGTTCAAGATGAATTCTTGCAACCTGGTGAACACACCTGTGGAAATTGGATTGGAATTGAGAAAGAGCTTTAGTGGTGGAAATATTGATCCAACTTACTTTAAAATTTTAGTTGGAAGTCTTCAGTACCTTACTTGCACAAGACCAGACATTCTTTATAGA